CACTACTTAAACCGGCGTAAAAATTTATTATGTTTAGTGACAGGCCACTAATCATCTTTCCTTTCTAAATTTCCTTTCCGAATTTAAGTGCTTGGTTTAGCTTTCGCAAAAATGTATATTTTAACATAAAACAAACGGACACTGGAACAGGGGTTTTATTTTCCTGACTTTTCGAATTTTGTCGAGCATCATTATGTTTCATGTTTCATCAGTAGAGGGTATGGAACGGATCCGTGGGCACCCCTTCTTTGCAGTGACCAGACATGTGGGAGTTTTCAGGTTAGACCAATTCCCCCGTCAAAGCAGGGGCACTCCCAGAGGTAACCGTAGGATAGTCCGACACCTGCACAAACGGATAATAAGGAACTGGTAAATTCCGAGAAATGTCGTGACATTACTCTGCTTTATTCAAATTTGTGGTTACCGTCGTAGTAACGACCTTAGATCCTCCGAAGGGCGACTTTTCAAAACCAGTGTGTGGCTCAAGATCGTTAACCCCGATAACAGCATAATAATTGTCTTTGTAACGTAGGAAGACTTGCTTTAAAAAAAACGATTCCCAGAAAATTCACTTCTATGTATTTTATTAAAGATAAGTAGAAAATCAACCCAAACTTCTTACATTTTTGTCTGTTAAATTTAATTGCATAAAAAACGCGAGCATGCTCTTATTAATTAACCTCACCTACCTTTGCACTTAGATGAGGGCAAGTTTTATTTTTATATTAATATATTGTAGTTTCCTGGGTTCGGGTTTCCGAACTCGAGTTCAGAGCTGTACACCTAAATTTCTTTCAAAAAATTGGACTGGGCTGAAGAAACAAAAGTGCAGAGCTAGGAAAATGCTTTGATATCCTATATTCTCAAATTGCCCGATTAAACTTTCTCCCTTTGACAAGTCTCGTTTGTTTCATCCTATAGCTTGTTCCACCCTATCCAAAGCGGCTCGTTACGCAGCCTCGCCTGGAATGACACTCTATGGAGCTGATGCGATTGCCCTGAGTGCGGTCTTTCATGATGTCGCAACGGAGTTTGATTTGCTTAGTCTGGTTACACGACCAACATTGACCCAAAATGCTTTGCAAGAAAGCAATAACAGTGTGCTACGGAATTATTTGGCCGAACCAACCGACCTCAATCAACACTTTGATCGAGTACTTCAAAAATGTGGTTCCGTAAAAAGTATTACTATTGGTCTCGTTAATCATTTGTTTCTGTAGAATCAAAGCGCGCTCCAGTTGTCAAATCACAACAAGAAAATCTAGTAACCAAATGGTCTACAATGGAAGACGGGTTGGAAACTTACCTTTACGAGCGCAAAGTCAAGGAAATCAGGTATTGTTATTTCTTGTCTGTCGACTAATTTGTCTCAGTGCGCAACATGCTGATCTTTTCAGACATGCAAGTGAAGAAATGAAAACAGATGGAACGGTTTCGCATATTGAAAAGTATGTAGCAGATTCAGCAGGGAAGTTGGTCAAGCTGGCGAACATTGTTTCCAGGCAGGTTAACCGTTTCTAAAAGTTTGCAGCTGACATCTTTATCTTTTGTATTTTATGGATTAAGCCAAAATTGCGCGAGTTCTTGAAATAATGCGCATGTTATTGAAAGGACTTTATGGTCTGTTCCTTGTATTTCCAATACATAACGCAAAAGCATTTGCCTTGCATTCTATAGTATCTGCACGATTAACAAACGCGCGCAAGCTATTCAATGTTGCCTAATTTAATAAAACTGTCTCATATTTCTCTCTAGGGAGCATGGACTAATTGAAGAGATATCCAGGCTGAAAGAAAAACTGAAACAAATGCGTGAAGAAACCGAAGAAACCTTAAAGCAACGCAATGAAATAATCACCCACCTGCAAGACCAATTTCAGGTAAATCTATTTTTAAGTATTCCCAGCTTTTTCATTTCTTTTGGATAAAAACTTTTATTCATAATTCATTCCTGGGCCATCTCATCAGTATAATTTTTTGACTATAATAGCACTGCGAATTTCCTATAGAAGACCGTACACAATCGAGTGTGTAAGGCTGAAATTACTTTGTTGCTGTCTCATGTGTTTAGTTTATATGATGATGCGTTTATTAAATCATGTGTATTTATAACTTTTTTGATTTTGTGCATTGATTTTTGTATTTTCTCTGCTAACTCTCCACTGGTCTCTTCTACATGAACTGAACCAGGAGTAATATTTTAGTTCTTACTAGGGTTGTTCATAATTCTTGTCTTTACTTCGGTCATATCGTCAATAAAGTCAACATTTTTGCCTTTTTGGAGCAAAACATAGAATTATTTAGGTCTTTTGGCATTTATCTGTTAGTCAAAACTTACTCTGCTTTACCGGCCTTACTGTCTGTGGGGCTAAATTTAAACCCAAGAAGATCAATTACTGATATTTGAGGTACACCGTTCTACCGAGCTTGCCAGTGTATACATAACATATATACTCTGCTTCGGATAGTTTAGAAAAAATAAGAAAAGCATGCACTACCGCTGGAGCACAAACTATGCACAATTTCAGAATTAAATTACCGTTTTAAGATATCAGCGTACTTAAGCCAAACCCCACTCAGGGCCACATTTACCCTAATTATTCTCGGAACTTTATAAATAAAGCGTAGCTGCAAGCCACTAATGGAATGCACCCCGTTTCAATTGCTTATCCCAATGGACACAAATACTTCAAAATGACAGCCTAAAAGGCTGTTCGGGCTGCACCCGAAACTATTCCTTTTGTCAGGGCTGAATTTACTTTTACCGGAAAGTAATGGTTTGTAAGAAATTTCGGACAGAACTCGAAAAACTTCACGCTTGAAAATGAGCGCGTTTTATCTCTTCGATCATTTGAACCCTTTATTTTATTAGTGCTGCATTTAAATCACGGCACAGCCTTTAAAAAGTGTTTGTCTCCGTTAAGTTAACGTCATGATGGTTAGCATACGGTTCGTTAATCTTGTCCTCACTGTAAATAGCCATCATTTCACTAGAGAGGGGAAGGTCGGGTAATAATGGTAATATTTATTCTACCCTGTTTATGCATACCCCATCTCCTCCCTAACTTTTCTGGTCAAATTGGTTCATTTGTTTTCAGGAACTGAAGTTTCGCGCCGCCATGGAAACGAAGTACATTCAGAAGTGTACCGAAGTTGTCATGAAGCAAACGGAAGGAAAATGCCGCAAGGCAGAGGAGGAGATTCGGGAAGAAACAAGATTTTTACGCAACAAACTAGCACAAGACACCCGCTGCCATGTGGAACTCTTCTCGTGGCTCACAAACAGAAATGCAGAGCTCAGTTTGGTCTGTATTTTGTCTTATTTTACTCAGAGCCTTCATAACGCATTTGTTTTTAAGTACTGTGAATCAAGGGGTCTGAGCTAGATAAGCAAATTCAACTTTCTTTGTAGATTATTAACTCATAGGCAGTTAGTGTTGCCAGCAAAGACAAGGGAGATTGAAATGGCTATTTCTAGCTTGTTTGCCGTCTTTAGCCAGTCATATCCAACCCAAGTGATGCACCACCCGAAGCTCGAACTCGCGCCCTTTTGATCAGAAGGCTAATGCTCTGACAGGCTGACGACGGCAATAGTCTGAGAGATGGGTAGGCATCATCACGGACAGATGCGGAGTGCATATTTTATCATAGTAAATTGCCAGACGACGGCAGTCGAGGAACCGTGTTCACAGAAAAATCCTTGAGAAAATAAAGCAGCTTTCGTAGTCCGCCTCTTCTAGTTCGTCTACAACTGATCGATTATCTGGATGATCTTTCTACCGCCATCGGATACGGAAAAGTACCGTTCTTTACGGCTAAACGTTTAATTAGGAGGTTTGGTAGATTTGCTTAATTTGAGTTGACGCAATTGTGAAAAAACTTGGGACGTTCGGCGGGATTTGAACCCGTGTATTAGAGATGGCCTTTACCAGAAGCCAACGCTCTAATCGCTAAGCTACAAACGCCCCACCTCGCGCCATGAATTTAGTCACATGTGGTGGGGCGTTTGTAGCTTAGCGGTTAGAGCGTTGGCTTCTGGTAAAGGCCATCTCTAATACGCGGGTTCAAATCCCGCCGAACGTCCCGAGTTTTTTTCACAATTGGGTCAACTCAAATTAAACGTTTAAATTTATTGGGGGGAGAGGTTGGCAGATTTGTTTAATCCAGTTGACGCAATTGTGAAAAATTTGCGGTCTCGGTGGGAGTCGAACCCACACAACAGGGAAGATTTTTGCGCAGCCAACGCTCTACCACTGAGTAATGAGGCTCACCGTGGGCCGTGAATTTAATCACACTTGGATCCATTTTACCCGCCCAACTCATTGCTCGTATGGAATCCACCATTACGGAACAGCAAGCTGACTGCCCAGTCAGAATTTCCTCCGGACGTACTGTGGGAACTTAAAGTTCATTCCTCGGCACAGATCTTTTCGGGTTTGATTCAAAATTCGACATAAAATCTATCAGCTTCAGCGGAATAACCGCATAATATTTAAACCCTTCCCACATGCAATCTGAAAGTACTGATTTCTTTACCATGTTTACAACGCAGGTAGTAACTCGAAGCTCTGAAACGTTTTGCCTTGGCTTTGTGCCACTGCATGACGTAGCTGTGAGGAATTTTCGAGTACAAGTGGAGCTTCCAGAGTTGTTACATTGGTTTCCGAGAAAAATCACAAAAGTTTGCATTAAAGCTTCAATGTATTAAAAGTTAATCTCTTCCGATTTAAAAATAACGCCTGAAATTAGGACAATTCGGTACTAAATACAACCAAGCTGCTAGCGGGGCCATTGACTACCCGTTAGTACCACACACAAAACTTAACTAGCAGACTACCTGAGTCTACTCTTATTCTCTTTTTTTTCCTGTTAATTGGAACAGACCATCATTCCTTCATTTTGCCCATCTTACTAGAACCTGTTCATATTGTAACTTCGCTTCTAAATCATTTTGTAAGTATGGATGGTTTGCATGGTTAATTTTAGGTCACCGGTACTTTGATGCAATTGTGTCTATATTGTTTTAGACTTGTGACTACATGGCGGAAAAGGAGACTCGTGACGTTTCGGCAAAGCAGGAGGAGCTAGCCGCATTGACCAAAAAGAAGGAAGATTGTCTCAACAATTTGAAAGCTCTGATCGTTGAGGTGCGCCCATACACGACTTCCTTTTTTTTATTGCATTGCTTTTCTTTGCGTTTAAGAACCTTATATGTATGTATATGCATACACATTATACCGTACTGCTGACACAGGTACTAACTAAAACTCGGACACGTGTTTCGCAGCGAGGGGTTCGGCTCTTCAGCTCCTCCTCAACATTCTCTATGCAAGTTCTGATATATGAACTCCAGCGAACAATCAAGGAGATACGTCCAGAACTTATTATATATATGGCACGCAGTTAAGTTACTTTAGGGTCAGCCCCGGCTCGCTGTCACAGAGGCCTTTGACCACCCGCGTGACTAGTTACTCCAGATATAGGCGAAAAGGCTGACCCCGAGTGTTGAAATGGAATGAAAGTGCAA